AAGGTAACAGAAAATGGAAGACTGAAAACAAGTTCAGAAAATAAAAATAAAAATAAAAATCCATAAAATTCATCGCCAGGTCATTATTCATGGGCACCGGCACCATCCATGCATCCAGAACAGGGGAAGGAAAAATGCAAGATGCAGGTAAAGCTCGACGCCAACACATGGGTCTCATGATGTTGTCCTCAAAATTGATCTTCTTCTCGAGTTGTCCTCTCGGATCACAGATACTAGTTTCCGCGGAATCAAGAAACACCTCATCGTGGCAACTAAGCAGAACCCCTCCGTTGGAGTACTTCGCCGATCAATCTGCGTGGACCCATGAGTTCGAGCCCTCTAGTAAAGGAGCGTGCGGGGAGGGACCATGTAGGTCGGTGCTCTTGGTGCCAACGTCGCCGAATGCAATCATCCACGAGAGCCACTAGTCCTGTCGCGACAATCACACTAATCACTGTTAGTCTATGCACGAAAGGAACACGCAAGTGAAGAAAAATAAAAAGCAAAACTGGCAATGAAAAGAGGCAATGGAGGGAAGAAACCTTGGAAGTGACAACAAATCATCACACTAACTCATGCCAGGGCAGCAAACCGCCCAACGCATCAACCCATCGCAAACACAGATCGACATCAAAGCAGAAAAAAAGGGGAGCGGACTTACTCGGCAACATCAGGCATCCTCTCATAAACTGAAGGGTCACTAATCCACATCGAACAAGGGGGCACCCAACCACCCTTACTCTCCTCCTCAACAGCCTCAAGCGGCGTCATGATTTCCGGAACCATATGTGCAATTGTCTTCGACGAACGCATATCAACAAGGTAGTATGAAACTTCCCGAAGATCGCCCTCTCTCCTGAATTCCCGGCGCCACTGATACTTCGTCGACCAGTACTCATATTCATATTTCTTCGTCGCGCCCGCCCCGCGCCGTTTAAGCTCGACGTGCGCGTAATTAGAGAATTCCAACAAAATCGTCTCGGTAAGTGATGGCGTTCCTCTGCGCCCATGACCATGGCCATTCTCGACACCATGATCATAATCAGGATCGTCCAGATCAAACGAGTCCATGCCCGCCTCATACCCCGAATCCTGCCTCTTCAAGTCTTCGGGCGAGTTTGCCGCGTGGTGACCTCCATTCGAACTCGAGCCGGGCCGGAGACTAGCGAGAACACTGCTCAGCGAGCGACGACGGCGTTGATGATCGGCGTGGTGCGAGATGGCTTCTTTGCGCGCAGAGTGGCACACCTCGCGGCCAGAGTCGCGACAATATCTGCGGAAGGAAAACTTGCGCGAGAGGAGGTCGTACATGCGCAGATGGAAGAGGATGACGTCCTGCTGATACCCTGCGCGACAAGGCACGACCGTGTCGACGCGCAAATTCATGTTTCCGTCTATCGTTGCGTCGTCGTGGCGGATGAGTAGTCTTCTTGAAGAAGGGAAGAGGCCGGCGAAGGAGGAGGGCGTTGAGGCTAGAGCGTCTGTTGGGAAGTTTTCTTGTCTGTCATCAACTTCGTAGAGTTCGAGTTCTTCTGTTTTGATTTGCTGTTGCTGCTGTTTTTGTTCTGCTTCCTCTTCAAGCTCTGCTGTTGAGCGGGTTGTGGAGGCGTATGTTGATACTGAAGCGTTGGGGGCGGTTTCATGGTCATGGCTGTGGTGATGCTCTTTTGGTTCGATGAGTCGGACTTCGATTTCATCGTCGTCAAATGCGGGCCATTCTGTTTGATCTCGGTCCTTTGGTGTTGGTCTGTCGCTAACTATAGTAGGTACAGTGCTTTTTGAGTGATCCGAGGCATCGGTTTCCGTGGAGCTGCAACTTCCTCCATTTCCGGGTCCTTGTGATGACTTGTACGAATTTGAACCCATCTTACGTGCCGGCATAAGATTTGGGGGAAGAATATTTCGTAAGTTGAGAAAAAAAATCAAGATGAAAGGAAATCCGGTGAGCTGTTCTGTCGTATAGCTTTTTGCTGTGGAGCCTTGTGGTGAAGAAGGACAATATCAAGTCGAGATATGTGAGATTATAAAGTTGAGGTGAGTTCAAGCGATCGCAGGTAAGATATCCAGCAAGTGTGGATCAAATAGTAATAGTGAAAGATCTTGAAAGTGAAGTGTGATGAAGTAGTTAAGTCAAATTCCCATGACGCAGTGTGAAAGTTGCCCTAAATCATCCGGTATGAAGGAGAATAGAACGGGGCAAGCATCCGACAAGGGATCAACTCAAAAGTCAAGAATCTCCCGAATATTCGGCTCCGCACTTTACCGCGTGCTCCTGCGTAGTAAAATTCTGGTTCTCACCACGCAATTTCCGAAGGCACCAGGGGTATATCGGAGAGATTAGGCTGGGGTAGGGTCCGATCGAGAATCATATGATGGGGGCGTCGGCAGCCAGGATTCGAGGGAATTCCCGCTTTCAGATAGTAGAAGTACAAGATGATTACCAAAGATACTTCTGGAAGAGATGGTGGGGTATTGACACAGGTGATAGAAATAGAAATCAGGTATTCCCCAAATTTGCTATAATCCAGGAGGGAAGGAGGGTGTTCGTTTGGTGTTTCCTAGGCGTTCGTTTCGATCCCCAAGGAGGGGTTAGGTTAGGTCGTTGGGCAAACCCCCAAGAATGGGAGAGGGAAAAAAAGTGGAGAGTGAACAACAAAATAGAGGGGCAGTGCCCAAAACCCCTAGACGAAGAAAAGAAAAAAACAAGAAATAGAGCAAAATTCCGAAGCAAAAGCTAGGGAGGGGTGAAGCAAGAGAGAAAAAAGAAAAGAAAAGCCCCGAGTGAAATGAGAAAGGGTGCGAATCGGACTGGCACAGGCGCCGTGCTGCTGGTTCAAGGCGTAATTAGAATCAAAAGCAGTCGAGAATGTAGGTATGAATGTAAATAAAACTCGAAGTGGGAAAATGGGAGGTTGTACTCCGTCATCGATTCGAGGGAGCAGCAAGTCGCAGCTGTAGCTAGCAGCAGTCAAGTTGAATAGAAATAAAAAATCCACCTTGGAATACGATTTCAATTTCCTAGCCAAGCTCGCGAAACAAAATGAACGAACAGACAAATAGTGAGGCGTGCAGCTCCGTTTCAATGCTAACCACCCACCACCGGCAGCATTTAATCTCCCATTCCCCCTTCCACAGGGAAAGCCATCGGCATAGAGTTCACACAGCCGTCGTACAGCACAGAGCTTCAGGCCGCGACCCGGTCAAACCATCGAATCACATAGATACCACCTCCTCCTCCACCTTCAAAGCCCCTCGCCTCATTGAGCAGGTCCTACAAACGGGCACCAAGTATCTAGTTACAAGCTAGAGGCTTAGTCGAGCCCTTCCATCACGTCTCAAACACGGACGAACCACACCACCCAGATACAGGATATTCTTATGGTGCTGTAGCCTCGGATGTAGAAGTGAGGAGCGTGATGTGTTCTGCACGTCCGTGTCGAACGGCCATTCGTCACAAAACCACCAGCCCAGCAACCCACCAACCCACCCACCTGGTGCAACTTCCATCTAGTGAAAGGGGATAGCGACCCCCCCTCCGATCCGTGACACCGGTCTGACTGGTCAGAGTGGGGCGACGGGCTGCATAGAAGAGTCTGGCCATGGGGGCTTGTGCGCTCTAGCTTCGACTATCACGGTCACGGTCACGGTCGCGGGTGAGATGGGACTTGGGCCTGGTGAGAATTGATGTCATTGTGTCCGGATCATGGCTTTAGGTCTGATCGCCATTGTTGCCAGAGCCAAGGACATGCGCCGATATTGATATTGATACTACGGTCTCGGTATCCCATGATTTTTGTTGTCGGTACCTGAGGTTCTCGCAGACTCCATACTAAAATTTCTTCACTTCCATCAGATGTACTAGCAGTATAGTACTAACTAGTTAATTACTACTTAACTAGTGCATATATGTTTCACACTGGAGAATAAATCAACGTCATAATGGAGACAGTGGGGGCGGACCGATCCGGTTCCAATCTTCTGTTCTGCGCCCTCACAGTTTTTCTAGTACATACTACAAATTGAACCCTACAGGACAAAATTACCCAATCTGTCATGTTATACCCAGGGATATAGATAGACATGGGTTCCAAGGTTCACCGTAATATACCCCGTGCCTGGCCCATCAATGCGGTCCTGGCAGCGGGCTTAGTTCGCATGATGCGAATGCGACCGCGAACGCTCGGGTGGAGACGCAACGGGCCCTGACAACGCATCTTGGGGTGTTTGACGATCGAGCGCTTCTCCCTGGCAGTACGTCATAGAAATTGGATTAAGATATGCAGACGGAATACTACTCCGTAGGTGAAAGACGATTTGATTCTGATCGGGTCTGATCAGATCTAACCTTGGCACTGAGTGGAGTTCGAACTAGCTTCAAACATTCGGGTGAAAGATGGCTGATTAGTTTGGGGTTTCTGATTATATATACTAGATTAGTCCTGCTGGTTGTTTTCTTCAAGACATGACTTGAAGGTACTACTATCCATTGGCATCTATGGATCCTTATAGTCAACCCCTTCACGCCAGTACTAGAGTCCACGGGTGATGACAGTATTCCTATTTATCACGAGGTAAACCTCGGAAGACTACTCATTGGCCAAGGCATTGCATTCAGATGTGAACTATCTCGCTGTGCCAAATTATTATTATAGATAATGATGGCCGTCAATGACATTGGTATACCGACTTTCGTATCATTCCGAGGTTCTCAGGCGCCATACCCACCTAAGACAACATGGAGACAGGCAGGACTTCCTCGCGTGAGAAGACCGTGGCTTTTCTTACTTCTGTCTTTACTACACCACATAAAGGGCCAAATCCGATACCAGAGAGAAAGAGTTGCATGAAACTCTGCTTTCCAGATCCGTCAATGGCTCTCCCAGAGTCGCTGACGGCCGCCTAAATTTCGCCGGGTGTCGTATACATGAAATGCCTTCCCACGCGTTTTCAATCCACTTGCCCACGCAAAAGCCCCCAATTTGTATGTATTTCCACTGCTATCACGTCATGCTGTTCCCGCTGGTGAGTTTCCTGATCCTTTCCTCTTGTACGGCGGTAGAGGCCCTGCTGGATGCCGGGCACCAACTTTTCAGGGTCGGCAGGTCGTCGAGGTCTTGTAGCGCTCCGAAACGGTATGGGCGTGGTGTGAACGGGGTCTCTGTGTTCTCGGTCCGACTCCTCAATAGCTTCATTGCTGCAGCTCTGATTGGCGTTTCAGGTCGGGTGACACGCGCGGTTAAGCTCCCCGCAGAGTCAGATGGGGAGCGAGAGAGGAGGGTGAGGCTTAGTTGGAATGCGAAAAAGTTGTCATTGGCGCGATTTTGCCTCTCGAAGAGCGAACCTGTTGCTTGGTTAGTTGACTGAGCCCAGCACTAAGAAGAGACGTTGCGTTACCTGCCACGGCGCTCCCTATTGGTGTTTATTAGTAGTCCCTCGCTGTCCGATTCGCCATCAGATTCGATCTCTGGAGCAGGCATGAGGACTGAAGCCGTCTTGTCTCCAGCAGTCATCGGATATTTCCCTTGAATTGTTTCAGAGCGCCTGTTTGAGGTCTTTTGATGCTGATTGCAGTGATCCCCATGCCGATTGCTGGATATCTGAGTAGAGCGCATAGAGAAGGATGGTATGTGTGCCGGTCTCGTTGGCTTGCAGGCATAGGTAAAGAGGTGAGTCCAAACTCGATAGAAAGACACGCTGGTGTATGATGCTCCAAGTCAAATCTTCCTAAACCTGGAGGAACTACCACACGCACTTCGCATAGAGCCTGCGAAAGGGAGGCTCACGATTTAAAACCATACCCGCTACGCGGCAAGTAAGTAACGGGTATTTTGATGGCTACTGGGTCGAACCAGCGACTTCTTGCTATAAGAATGAGTAGTGATAATTCTGATAGCCGGAATGACTTCTATATTCTCCACACTCCATACGGTTCAAGTTGAAGCGTGGTGCAGCAGAGACGGCAGCCTCGGGCATTCAGGCATTCAGGCATCCTGGCCGCGCCTTCCCGATTCGGCTATAGATAACTTCAAACATCACCACTTTCGTTTTGTCCCTACTTCTATCAATTTCTTCCCCTATTAGTTCCCAGACCCAGATTATGCATTAGTACTACTATAACTATTCGTCCTATTGAGTTGCTTCGCTCTAGTCCTTAATTATGTAGTAAATGTATCCAAGTCCGCGTTCAAATCCAAACGGATGCCCGGAACATTCACTGGAGGGATCACGCTGTCGCCATTTTAGGAAATTCGCAGATTCGATGCTGCCTAGAGAGAGGTGAGTCACGCGCTGTCCCCGCCCCTTCCGCTCCCTGTCTCTCCTCCTCCTTCTTCTTCTTCTTCTTCTTCTTCTCCTTCTCTCTCTCTCCCCCCCTTCTCCCCAAGCAACTCGCACTGTTTGGTAAAACTCACGGTGTGGGGGTTGATCGGTACGTCTCTTCTTCCCTGCAAAAATCATAGAATCGAGATCAGAGATCTCGATTCATCGCACTTATCCCCTCATCCGTCCTTTCGCTCACTTGCATCCCCATTCCATCATCTTCGAGGCACCCCAAAACTGACCACTTCGCACAGGTTGCGCAAAAAGACAAGGATCTGTGTACCGGACAAAAGTAACCCTCTGGGGCGAACTGTCGACTGGCCTTTTCCTGGGTTGGCAAAGCCAGCGTCCTCACGGATTACATACACCATACCACGCTTCGGCGAGATGCAACGAAACAGCAACTACGCAACCCGTTGATAACCCATCTCTTTCTGGTGGTCTTAATCCTGGCCGGCTGACGCCTACCATGCTTTGACATGGAGCCCAATCTTTTTGGTCTGCACGATCAACTGCCTTTCCCATTTGGCCTTCGGGCCACCACCAATCTTTGGAACAACCTCCCTCTTCTGGTGCTGCGGCCTAGTCACTCCGCCAGAAACCCAATCTTTTGAACCCACTCCTACCCCTTTGACCTCTATCATTCGGGTGGGAGCCAGCAGTATTGCTTGAGCCTCTTCGTGGCACTGCTGACTAGTAATTCGTTGGTTCGAATGAAGCCAATCAAGCATATCATCCTTTAGATTAGACTTCTTCCAATGCCATTCAACCTTCTAATACCTTGGACATTTCCTCCTTCTCTCTTGTCTCCGTAGTGTAGATCAAGCAATATGATCCCATTCTCTGTGGCTCTTGCGATGAGAGCAGTCCTCCCGTGTGGCCCGTCTACTCTGAGCTTGGAGACTAGTGATAGTTACGCGGATGGGATATTCGCTCGTCAAACTTGAAATTGAATACTAGCAGCCGCTTTCCATCGTTTATTTGCGACTCGTAACTGAGGCCAATTCCACCGGGTTTTTTATCCATACTGGTAGCAGTCCTGAGGGCAGACGAAAGGAGCCACGCCTACGGTATACACTCTGTAATCCACCCGAGCATAGCATCGGGCAGGCCAACTTGAATGCAGCTACTTGAACGCAGCTGAAGAATTCCCAGAACCCTCTGTTCCTCTTCGATGACGATGCCATTTTGAGTCCTAGTACTCTACATTATAGAACACGTCTCCGAGGGCCCCCTCGTCACTGCTACACTAGTCAAGGTTAATTTTGGATTAGCTGCATATGGTGGGGAGGGGCGGGAATGAATGCGGGTTTGTGCGATCTTCAGCATCGACTGCTTGGGCTGAAAGGACTCGCTTTGGTTTGGGGCCCGGTTTGAAGTACTACTAGTGTTAGTGATAGGCGAGATGACTTCATCCGAGCCTGATTTGATATAATGGGATCGGATACTAGGAGTAGACCTGGCTCCAAAAGGCTTGGCTTGATGCCGGGCCTGCTTTCTTCAGATTGTGCTATGCCTGCTTTCTCTCGGCGATGCTTGGAGACTGCGTTCGAACGCAGTCTCCATCATCTCCGATCTAGAAGACTTGGTGATTCAATGTACTGACGACTTGCACATGTCACTGCACAATGAAATTCCAACACGAGGGCTGCAGGCCAAGAACTGGAAACTGTCTGGACTTGGTCGAAATATCCTCATCCGCGGTTGTCGCGAAATGACGACATGGTGCAGGGCTGGAATGGGGCATGTATTCCGGGGAGTCGGGGAATTCCCCAGCCATGCGAATGGTCTACGCCTCAAAGGGGTGAAACGGCTATTGAAGCCGAGTTCCTGGAATTCTAGCCCGCCGCGATATGTAACTCGTACGAGACGCTAACCGTCTAATAGAGAATCAAGTAGGTGTGCTTGGCATGGCATGGAGGGATCCTTCGAGTGAAAGGAATGGCAGAAGTCAACCTTGGAATCTTCTATATATGCCTCGAGAACTCAAAACTTGAATGCAGACATCTGGTAATATAACCGAATGAACGAACATAACAATCAAAGGATATGTGTCTTTCCCTTTGCTTTACAACCGAAATAAAACATATGAACTCCGCCGCCTCCGCCTATATCCAGTCTGGCAGTCTAATGGGCAAGCAGACAAGGTATGTATGTGTATCTCTACCAAACTCGATCCCTGCCGGTGGTTGTGCAAACCCGTCACTTAGACCTGCGCATAGAGTGGCCGCGGGAGTTCCTCGCCCAACTGAATCTCATCCTCGGTGCGGCATGTTGGATGGTTGACCAGTCCAGTGCGAGTCCCAGGGACTGGCGGACGGAATCCGACATAAGCCTCGCGGCGAGCAGGCTCACCGACAGTGACAGACCAGGTATGCAGGCCATAGTAGGAAGCGATAGAATGCACGAGCCAGCGACTTTATACAATGTCAGCCTCCGTGCAAGCCATGAGTCCTAAGGGAGGGGGAAGAGGAGAGGAAAGGAGACAACCTCCCCCCGCAGGTAGTATATGAATCTTCGAGAAACTTACCCAAAAGCCGCAGCACGGTCATCAACCAGACTCTCAAAGACCATCTTCTCCCCATCCCGCTCATCATGAAAACTCATCTCATCGCGCAGCCGTTGCAAAGCCTCCTTCCGCTCAGGCGAATCATGCATCTGTCCATTACGCCCAACAAAGACAATCTCATCCTCCGAGTCACTGGGCACATCCTGCAATCCCTCATTGCGGAGCAGCGTCTGCTTCTCATTCCACTTCCGGATAAAGAGCCGGATCTCGTCTTCCAGATCCTGCAGCATACCTCGCGCCGCGCGCGCGTGCTTCAATCTCGATCGCAACTCCTTGGGCACTCGGTGCTTCTCTTCGACGGCGGCGTTCTTCCGGGGGTGAGTATCTACCATGTGAGCGTAGTGCACATCCCACAGTGGGGCGAGGTAGTACGGCATAGGATCATGGCGGGTGTATGTCGGACGAATTTCCCAGTCTTGGGACGAGGGCGGTTCAGCCCATGGGTTGTGCAACAGGCGATCTTTGTGGACACAGTCAGCTATCGGTTCCTTTGACCATTTTGCTTTTTTTCTTTGTCTGGCCAATCAATGGTTTCGGAGATGGCGCGTACCGTTCTCCCAGCGCTGGCGCCGACGACTTCCGTCCTTTCCTTTCAACAGGGCCTCTCGGCTCTTGATACTGTCTCGGCGCAGTGGTTCGCGGCGACGGAAACTGACAGTCGGCGGGCGGGATTCCTCGGGCTTGGAGGCGATCTTCACTCTCGGGGATGGGCTCGGGGGTTGATCGTCCAGCGGGATGGACAGGGTCGTGGTGGCTCCACGCAGGGTGGAACGGACCGGGGTGGGAGATTGGGATGCGGCATCTTGGGTTGATTCGGAGAGGGAGAGGTCCTGCAGGGAGGAGGCGGCTTGTTCGGTCCATGCGGAGATGGCGAGGGTTTGCTGGGGGGGATAGACTGCCTTGCGAACCCTCCGGGCGGAGTCTTGGATGGATAGCCATTATGGAATGAAAGAGATCAGATAAGAATATAGGGGATGTAAAAATATAGTAAGTAAGGTAGAGGGGGAAAGAGGAGGGTGACGTGAGGACCCTGAGTATAAGAGTACAAGCGGGCGCACTGCGGACTGGAGGACTGCGGAGATAGCAGATAAAGACGCCAGTCACGTCGGCACGGGATTCGCGCGCGTCGATGATTGGGGGTGACTCATCAACCCTAACCCTTCTTTCCGTTTTGGGAATACGAGGGGCAAAGTAGGAAGAAGCAGGGAATAAGCAAACAGGGAAGAGTGCCAGTACAAGGGGAACCTTGGAAAGAACATTTGAGGACCCTGTTTCTCATGGGTTACAAGAAGTACAGAGTACAGATTACAGAGAGTGTAGTGTATATTATGCGCACTAGTTAGTTATACCACACTACTACTCTGCACTCTGCACTCTATACTCCGTACTGCGGCTGTGTCTGTAGGCCCCCGTCAGGCTCCGCAAGGCTGTGAGTCACGGGCTTCCGAGCAGCCGAAAAGTGGGTACTAGGAACCTCGGATCTCCGCTTGCCCCCCGCGAGAAGATGAGTCGAGATGATGTAGACCATTTTATTCTATTCATTCTGGGTAGGTACTAGGTAGGTTCCCCAGTGAATAGTAGATAGCTATGTAGCCAATTACCATGTAAAACTGAGCTCACAAA